CACACTTGATTATTACCTATGGCAAAGCCTTCAGGTTGAAGCATGTATATTTCCTCTTCTAATTCTCCATTTAGAAAAGYTGTCTTCACATCCATTTGGTGAAGTTCTAGATTGAAATGTGCTGTTAAAGCCATAATGACTCTAAATGCATCTTTAGTTGATACAGGTGAGAAGGTTTCATTATAATTAATTCCTTCCTTCTGATTATATCCTTTTGCAASAAGTCTTGCCTTATGTCTTTCAATCTTTCCATTGGCATCCCTTTTGGTTTTGAAAACCCATTTGGATCCTATTGGTTTTATAGAGTCTGATTTTTCAACCAGATCCCAAACTTTATTGTTTAACATGYTTATCAATTCATCTTCCATGGCTTTTAACCACTTCTCCTTATTCTCAGACTCCATGGCCTCTTTATAACTCCTTGGGTCTTCATCTTCACCCAAGTCWAATTCTATCTCAGTTGAGTACACATGGTAGTCATTTGATATTGCAGGTCTCCTTTGCCTTATGGATCTCCTAAGTGGTTCCACTACTTGTGCTTGTTCATGGGTTGAATCATGTGATTGGTCTAACATTGGTTCTGGTTCATGTGAGTGATCTAATATTGGTTCTAGTTGGGAGTCTTCAACTATTTGTTCTAAACCTTCAATCACATTCTCACTAATAGCAGGTTCAATTATTGGTAGGGATTGAATAAATGTATTATCAGTCCCAGTTACTAAGGTTGGATTGTCATTAAGGCATTCTAACCAATCAATCTTATTATCTATATTTTGAGAGGAAGTTGCTAGATCATCATCTTGATTAAACATTTCATCAAGAAATACTGCTTTATTGGTTTAAAAAATTCTTTGACCTCTCCCAGGATTGAAGAATTTATATCCTTTTGACTTTTCAGAATATCCAATAAAGTATGCTGACAAGGATCTTGGATCTAGTTTACTTAACTTATCTACATGGTACTCCCTAATTTCAGCTTTACAACCCCATACATGCAAATGATTAAGGCTAGGTTTGTAACTATTCCAAAGTTCAAAAGGTGTACCTTTTATAGCCTTAGATGGTGATCTATTGCATATATAATTGGCAGTCTTCARTGCTTCTCCCCATAAGAACTTTGGCAGGCTTGATCTTGCAAACATACTCCTAACCATGTTCATTAGGGTCCTATTCTTCCTTTCTGAAACTCCATTCTGAGTCGGGGTATARGGTGTGGTATATTCAGCTTTGATTCCACATTTTTCTAGATAAATTGCAAAAGGACCTTTATGTTGTCCCTTTTCAGAGTATTTACCAAAATACTCTCCTCCTMTGTCTGATCTTACTATCTTAATGATTCTTTCAGTTTGTCTTTCTACCTCTGTCTTGAACTGTATGAAATATTCCAATACTTGTGATTTTTCAGCTATGAGGTATATATGACAAAACCTTGAGAAGTCATCTATGAATGTGAYAAAATACTTATTTCCACATATTGTTTCAATRGGGAATGGTCCACACACATCTGTGTGTATTAGTTCAAGTATGCACTGACTTCTTTTAGAATGAAAGTTTCTTGTATTAGTCATTTTTCCTTTGAGACAATCTACACATGTCTCAAAATCGTCAAAATCTAATTCTGGTAGAATATTTTGTCTGACTAATTCTTTCATTCTAAATTTGGAAATATGTCCAAGTCTCTTATGCCATAAAAAGGATGAGGTGTTCTGTTTAATTTTCTTCTTAACACCTGTCACTTGATTTATGGAACATATTTGCCTTTT